ACTCCTCCCCCAGCCTGTAGCATTGCATGGGGTTGTTGTGACCCAAGTGCAGGACCCAGCACTTAGCCTTGTTGAACCTCATACAGTTGGCCCCGGCCCAACGATCCAGCCTGTCCAGGTCCCTCTGCAGGGCCTTCCTGCCCTCCAGCAGATTGACACTTCCACCCAACTTGGTGTCATCTGCAAACTTACTGAGCGTGCACTCAATCCCCTCATCCAGATCATCAATGAAGATATTGAACAGGACTGGCCCCAGTACTGAGCCCTGGGGAACACCACTCGTGACCGGCCGCCAACTGGATTCGGCTCCATTCACCACCACTCTCTGGGCTCAGCCGTCCAGCCAGTTTTTAACCCAGCATTTGCTGGTATTTGCTTTCTAGTCCTTCAAGCCACAGATTGGACGAGCCTTCCTATCATTTATCATTAAAAATCCAGCTTCAGAAAGTCTCAGTCTGCTCTTCCACCTGTCCTCAGAATAGTAGATTTCTGTTCTCTCTATAGCTGCTCTACAAAGAGAGCAGTGCCTTCCATAAGCAATGGAGTTAGAAATACAGCGAGACAAATACGATATTCATGGCCAGACAACCATCCTGCACTTTGTTGTTCCCAAAATTCGGGAACTCATCACGCTGTTTTGGCAAAAACTCTGCTGACAAGCTAGCCAAAAGATTAGGGTAGTAAATCACTTCATGGTTTGCTGTTTATTTTTTTGTTTTTTTCTGCTCCAATCTAATGAGGTATGAAGTGGGGCTCATGTCCAGCTTATATGGGTTTACAAGGCTTTTTTCATTTATATTTGCAAAGAAACACTTGCATAAAAAAGCAGTACATGTTCATCAACAGAGTTGGAGTACCTTGATATTGTAACAGTTGATAGTGTGGTCGCTTGAGCCAGTGTAGAGTGCAGCATTCTTCCCATTTGTCTGAGTGACCAGGAGGCAGTTCACTTTTGAAGTATGTCCTTCAAAGATGGCCACACACTTCCTGCTCTGAAAAGGAAAGCATAGGGTCTGTCAACATAAAGGCCCATAATGCCTCTCGGGATCTGCACCTGACAGAGTAGAGTAGGACAGCTAACAAAAGCAGGACACATGCAGCAATCCATCTCCCCTTACCCCTCTCATAGGGAGAAGGGGTTGGGGAGGAGGAGAAGAGAGGTTTGAAGAATAGAATAAAAAAAATAAAGCGCTTGAAAAACCAGCTGCTTCCTTAACGACACAGTAAGGCTTTACAAAAACAGAATTGCAACCTTGCGACTACAATTAATGTAGCACCATTTCCACAACCTTACTTACAACCAAATTGTAGGCACAAACAGTTTTGTCTGCTGAGCAGGTATATAACAAATTCCCAAAAATCTGAATAGCATTCACTGCAGCCAGGTGTCCCTCAAAGTTTCCCTCTGTAGGTTCTTCATCCTCACCTGGCTCCGAAGACACTTCTGTAGGACAGAAACATATGTACTTTCATTATGTGAACACATGCAAGCAAACACACTACTGTAGTTCGCATTACCAAACAGCAGAACTATTTCATGGGCTCAGCACCTTAAAGTCAGATTTCATTGTGGGTCCCAGCTGGAGCCTGTAAGTGGCAGAAGGCAATATAAAATGCCAGGAAGACCTTTTTGTGATGTTAAGTCCAGAAAGATCTTTAAAACAGCAAAAAGATTGTATTATTGTTTGTCCTACAGCTCTGCGGAGACTGGAGCAGAAGTATTCATGGGGGAGGGGGCAGGGGGATGTGGAGGGGTCAAGGCACAAAGCATTCAATGAGGGATGACATAAGTGAGTATGCATCACTTCCCACTTCAGTTTTTAGTGCAGGTTTTTATCTTCAGGGCAAAATTCCCCTCTGAAAGCAGCCTGATTGAGACTTAACTCGAAGTCCTGCAAGATATTATACACAAAGTACCAGAAGAAAAGCTTAAAAGATATACCTGATGAGTTCTTTGATCCTCTAAGTGATGATATGGAAGTCTGCGTCTCAGCCACACTGTAACACAGAAATAAAGAGTAGCGAGATGGGACTTTGCATGTTCATTGTCAGACAAAATATTGGTGTAAGTAATACTCCAGAATACAAGACTCTGCACTTAGTTGAAAAGAAGCTGTAACAGATAAGCTCAAAAACAAACTTTCCGTGGAGGGCTGCCTTGTTCTTGTATCACAGAAATTAGTAGGTAACAGGACACATTCATTTATTGGACCAAAAAAGCAAACTCAATTTTCATTTTCCCTCTTATTTCACTCCTGAATGGAACTAAAAGTTACTGATGTTGTAAGACTTTCTGAAGGGGCGGGGGGGGAGAGAAGCCTCTTATTAATATTGTTTAATGCTTTACTTTTGAGAGACCTACAACAATCTCACCTTCTTTTCCCATCATCCTTATAATTTGTGCCAATCTCACTGGTAGAGCTCACTTCATCATAACCAGAGCAAGACGCCTCTATGACTGCTTGATCCACAGAGCTGCGTGAATCCCTCTTTGATGGACTGTCTGGTTTCTCGTCTCCTGACTCTGATGAACCAACATCAACCACCTCACACTGGGCTGCTGGAACTTCCACTAGTTCCAGAGAAGCATCACTGTCATTCTCATCTTTGTTTCTTGCTGTTTGAGCAGTAGCTCCATCCTCCTGTCTTGGAGGAGTGGATGTCGTAACTTTTTCTCCTTTAGGAACCCTTCCACCCTTGACCTTCCGGACAGGCTTAGAGTCAATTATATCCTGTTCTGTATCGCTGTTCTCTGGCACGTGGGCTGCCCTCAGAGTTTTCTTCTTCCTTAACTTTCTCCTCCTCCTGTTCCCTTTTTCTGCTGGGACTACAGTGGTTGCTGTCTGTTGCTCGGACGGTTCTGATGACAATTTGGGAGTTTTATCCATTGGCATTTCTAGAAGGACTGAATGCTTTGGAAGAGATGTGCTACACTGATCCAGTAAAAAGCTTTCAGTCACTGTATCATTTGCTTCTCTCTTGCTGAAAACAGACAGAGAATGAGAAGGGTTCTCAGGAAGTCCAGCCTTCCCCCTGTCCGCAGCAGGCTTGTGAACATCTTGATTAGCGTGTTGGAAACAAGCTGCTAGCTCTGATAGGGATATGGTTGCAGAGATAACTGGATACACTGAAGTTTTCTGGTTGGTCTCCTCTGAAGAAAAGAGACTAGTGTTATATTCAATCTGTACAGCAACAAATATTTACACAAAATTGCTTTCCCTGCATTTTTTTGTTTATACTTAGTTGTGCATGTAAAGTACCTATGCCTACGTGTTGAAAGCTATATGCACATGCAGATCTGCTATTTCAGTCAGCTATCCAACCTTTAAAAAACATAGCTGGGGAATAAAATGTTTATCTGTGTACCCAGAAGCAAAGGAAAGAGGCACATCATTCAAGCTGCTGGCTGACTATGCTTTTAAAGTTCTGACAAACAACCTTTGGTGAATCCTACATGGTCAGCTTAAGATGCTACCACCCTTCACTGTGTGCTCCCTTACCAGCTGTCACCACTGCCGTAGGACTGGTATTAACCAATGCATGCCTAATACGTCTCAGCTGCTTTGTGACATACTTTGAAGACCTTGTGCTTAACTCATCTGCATTAGTTATTTCTACCAAGTTACTTGGACCGAACTCAAGGTGGATGAGTCATGCACAACCCACTCTGCAGCATCATACCTTCTATCCTGGGACTGGCAGTGCTGTAAGCCATCAGGGTAAGCTTTTTAGTTCATCTTTGGTGGACTAAGCGATGGGGCAAACATACTCTCCCTGTCATTTTAATTTGAAGTTAATACGAACAAATGAATCCAACCTTTCAACTGAGACAGGCTAAGAGCACAGGTAGCATCTCACAGCTGTTTCCCACACCCTAAAATTCCCCAGTTGCACTTGCAATAACTACAATCCAGAACAGGATGTTTTAAGTTCATTTATTGCAGTGCACTTATTGGCTGAATAAATTATATAAATAATTCAATGTGAATGGGAAGCTGGCAGTATTTGAAACACTTCCCTGCTTCAGTCTCTTAAGAAACCAGCAAACTAAACTTACAGCAATACTTAGACAAAGCTGTTGGACCGTTTAACACATCACAGTACAAATTTGATGCTTTAGAATTACACATCCAACTAGAGACAGCTTAAATGTGAACATCATGCCCCACACCTTCCTCAGATGGGAATTTCCAAGATAAAACTAGAACTTGCTGACAGTGTAGGGTGTATCGTATTTAAAGTAAATCAATGGAAAGCTGGTTTTGCCCTGACCCATAACTGTCATACACAGTTGCAACCTGCTAGAAAACCCTCTATACAGAGGAAATGAGTGCTTAGACGAGGTTTAAATGGTTGCTGTATAGAATTACACTGGGAAGAAGGCACACAAACCCTTAAATTCTGAATAGACTTCTAACATCGTGGGTCCCTCATTTCCCACAGGAAGGGGGAGGGAAGGAGCTTGGTCACTTAAAAACAAAATAAACAGTAAAATAAGACTAACCTGCAACTTAAACTGAAATTTCTAAACCCAAAAGTTATTAATTCTCAGCACTTGGACTACTGCAGGTGTTAGAAAAGGAAGCAGGAAATCACCATGGTCATGCAAGAGAACAGAATCACTTAGATCTGCAGGTGGGAGAGATTGCTGGTGGTTAGGGGAAACCAAGTGCAATCAGCTCCTTCAAAGCAAGGCTGAGCTGACCTCCGAGGGAAGCTGACAAGCCATGTCAGCAGATGTTCAACCCCCAGAAAGCAGATAGTCTGCCCTCAGACAGAATTCCTCTCCCTCAAATTACAGAGTTTACTTGATAGTAAATGCTTACTTTCCCCCCAAATTACCAAATTCATTTGATGACAGATGCTCATTTTAAATGTAGCACATATAGGTGTTGATCAATACCAAACCCACATTAATTTGACAAACAAATATCAAAAGAACATTCTTGCTTTTAATATGTCAAAAATAAGTTTGTAGGAAACTGACAAATATGCTAAATGTGATTAAGACATTTTTAAAGTAATTATTTAACTAACAAATACAGCTATATATTGAAGGTTCATCTTTATGAGAAAAAACTAAAATGCCTCTTCAACTTCTGCTGTGCCTGCACAGACAGCAATGAAATCCGAAGATTCTGCAAGCAAGACGCTTTATGCCGCTGCAGCTAGCAACATTAAAGAAAAATGACACCTCTCTTCATTGATGTTTAAGCATAACAGAATGGCACATGCCAATAAAGATGGGAAAGCAAAGGAAAGGTAGTGGCTTTCTACAAGCTAAGTGTTAACAATGCAAACAAATGCAAAAGCTGATTCTGCCCCTTCCTCCAGTTTACTTTAGTGCACACCCCTAGAGCTTCATAATCCCTGTCAAATCCTCCAAAAAGAGATGAAGCAAAATTCACAATACTACATTAATGTAACGTAACACAATGGAATACAGGAAATGCAATGGTGAATAAAAAAAGCACAAAGAGCACTATTTATACAGAATTCTACATCTGAAGCAAACTGCAAAAAGGTAAAAAAACCCTTCAAATTCTTGTATTTACAGAAGTCTAAGCTTCAGTTCAGCGAACACTTATCTTGTGCTTGAGAAAAAATACACTTAGAAAAGTAGAACAGCATGGCTTTTTCCAATAGTATTTTCCACTTCAGTTGAAGGAAAAAAAAATTGTTGGCTATATTGATCTTTAACAAGCATCTTACTTATGAATCTTTATCTCAAATTATCTAAGCCAAGGCTTTGGGGAAGTGACATTGGTATGGCAGACAAACAACTGTTATTAGAGTCACCCTGCTTGACTTTACAGGCTCTTAGGAAAGTAAAGGATGATTGAGCTTTTAATTTTTGTCCCTTCAGTCACAGTAGCAAGTTGCAGTGGAAAGTACCAACAGCATTTAAGCCTCTGACCACAGACTACAGTACATGAGTTTTAGGGGTTATCAACTGTCTAAATAGTTAGCAATTTCAGCTCTAGCCATTAAGATCTCATTTTTCTGAACCAGTAGTTCTCACATTAGTAGTTCAGTTAATTCAGCGGTTTCTCCTCCAGACAAAAAGTGAACACATACCTTCATTGGTAGCTCTCCCCTACTCACTCCCACTCCCCTCCCATGAGTGAACAGTGCCTAACATCCTTCCTACAGCAAATTGTTTACTGAAATCACAAATAAGATCGCGTGAACTTTGTATGAGCATCTCCAGACCAGTGGGATTTAGAGAGATGGAGAGGGAGAGAACATGGATTGTTATTTTTAATATCACAAATTATACTCTTTGTGCTTATCCAGCAGGGCCCAAGAAGAACACAGAACACACTTAATGTAGTTGGTCATAATTTTTTAAAAAAGATCTTCAGGCATGCATTTTTCCTTTGTAGGCAGATTTTCAGCTACCAATGCTCATTAAATGAGGCAGAGCAGAAGACAAAAATTACAGGGGAGGTTTAAAGGTTTGGGTTTTCTTTTTATTAACTAAATTATTCTGAGAGGATGTAACCTTCAAATTCATGTTTGTTCTTTTTTTGAAGTAAAGCTAGAAACCTGTAAGTGCATACGACCACAATTTGCATGTGCTTAACAATTTCAAAAACGTGGATTCCATTTGGATGTGTTGTAAAGAAGGTCCTCGTTTCTAAGACCAGTAAGTTGACAAAGTCCTACACAAGTTAATGGGAGTTCACCCCTGCACAACAGGCTGCAGGTTTGAGACCCAACTTACATTCTTCTGAGAAAAAAATATTTTCCTTATTTTCTTAAAGCTAGTTCTCTTAAAACAAAGAGAAGCCACACATACCATCCTTCTGCTCCACCTCTTCTGCTTGTGAAGCACAAGGAGAGCTCTGGTGTACAGAATTCACATTTTCTTCTGAGCCTTTTGGAGACAGAGGTTCTCGTTTAACTTGTACTGAGGAGTCAGGAGGAGCGGTGGGTGTGATGCCAGGAGACTGGAATGGTGACGGCATGTTTACATGAACAGAAGCTCCCAGTGGAGGTACAGAAGACGATAAAGTGTCCAAAAGGGGCAGGAAGGAGCCTGCAGGAATTAAGTCACCTGCCATCTGAGATTTGCTATTTCTTCTCTCACTTAAGACACTGCAGGAAAGTTGCTCTGACAGTTCTGAAGGTTCATATGTTTCTAATGGTAAAAGAGGAGAGAGAAAAAAAAAAAAAAAAAAAAAAAGAACAGAACAAAAATGTTCCCATTTTACAATAAAATTTAGTGGTGCCAAGAGCTCATTTCTTGCGGACACAGAGACAAGGAAGAGAAAATTTTGTAAAAAAGCCACTAGATGGCACTACTAAAGACAACAGCTCACACTTGAATAAAGACTTCAATATTGAAAGCCTGCAATTTTAAACCACATTTTAAATGAGTGAATTCAAGTTAAATGCAATTTTTACAAGATGCTGAGTTCAAAGAATATGAGAGTCAGCATTCCACTGTTGTAGTTTTATGGTATCTCGTACCTTGTAGCCCCTGCAAGATCTGGATTCTCTGACTTCTTAATGTACTCATTTCCATGGTTATCTGCAAAACAGTTGTGGTTTACATCAGTCCTACTTAAGGCAGATTTTCAAGCTGCTAACTTCTAGTTCAGACAGTCCCAAAAGCCTGCTGTTACCTGTTGCTTTAATACAAGGAACCGTTGAACCTCAACATATGCAGCCTGCAGGGCAGCCCTAGCCTGCAAGAGACTGCTGTCCACACTATGCAGGGACTTGCTTAACTCTTCTTCCCTCAGCGAAATAGCCAACAACTGGTCTACCTGAGAACGTTCTGAAAAAGAAACAAAATGTAGAGCATAACTGTACTTGACAAAACATTAAAATACATTACAGTTGATATCTCAATAAATACTACCACCTCAGAATGTAAAAATCACATAAATAAGGTCAAGCATCAATAGTCGTGCAAGAAGCTGAAAAGGAGTATCTATGCACAGGAACAGTCACATCTACATGACAGAAGAGCTAAGTCAAGTATTCCTCTTTACAGAATCTCAACCTTGACTCTAGTAACTTTATTTCCATCATAGCTTTGCCAGCACTAATTTAGTTGAACAAAGTCATTCTCTTCCACAAAGATCTTCTGTTGAAGTATACGTGTACGTAAAGTACAAATACACACTTTCCATTAATGTAATCAAAAAGGCAAAGGCAAATTTAAGCTAAACAAGATTTAAATTATTGAGTTAATCCAGAGGCCAAGGAAAGGCAGCTTAAGAGAGAAAGAACCAAATGATAAAAAAATCATTTACTATCCAGGATGATTTTGGGCCCTGAGATTCACGTTTGCAATCTCTTGAGAGTCTCTGAGCACTGTACTCGATAAAAAGATCCTCCTATACTCCTTTCTAGAGTCTTCTGGCATTACAGAGATTCTTCAAGCAAATTAAGTTACAGTTTGTGCACTGCTTAGTTTCATTCAGATTATAGTTTCCTTTAGTAGATTTACTACAATAACGATGATGCTGAAGCAAAGTAATGGGAAAAAGAGATTTTACTAAGTCGAATGTGTAATTAGTCTCCATAACAGACACTAGTCATTGAAGACAGAGGCTGATAAAACCCCCCACCTTTTCAAGCAGTGAAATATTAGTTCCCACAAGAAGATTCCTATTAATTGCCCTGCATTCCAAACAACTCTTAATATAAATAAATAATTTTAAAAAAAGAACTGGAACATTTGAAACCTATCTTCTGGACCCCAAGGCTCCCAGATGGTGATGCAATGATTTAGTTCCCAAAGAAATCATTCTCCCTAAACCACAGGTGGTTAATTTTGATACACGATGATGTGGATGTGTTAAGCACGTTTCAGAAAGACCTGTCTAATGCCAGAATTAGAGTTTTCTTTGGTCAGGAGCAGGAAGGAGTGAGGCATTTCACATTCATTTCCACAGGGAAGAAGGAGCCAAAAAATAAGAAGTATTGCCAGAAATGTCAAAACCAGAACACAGCCCAAGTTATGCAGAGTACAAGTTTTCTCGTGAGACCACTCAGAAGTAGAAAGGGAAAGCTGCATGGCTGAATTAGAATGAAGTGCTGGGTGCTTCTCCCTTCAGAACTTGCATCCAAAGAGGCAACAAACGTCTCTTCCCTGAGCAGGGCAAAGCAAACGTCCCATCTGTGCAACCAGGAACATGAACAGCAGGCAGAAAGGAAGCACAAAGCCTTCTCTTAGAAATAACATCTGACAAATTAAGACGGGACTCTTCAGAGCAGAATGTGTTGCAGACCTGAGAGTAGTCCACTCTGTGATCTTCAGCAAGAGTCCAAGAAGCACCAAAGTAACATTAAGCAACTACCATTTTAGCCAAGTCAAAATACTACTAGGTATTTACAACCTCTATGCCAGATGCACATATGTATGATATTCACTCACCTTTTTTCCCTTTGATTTTTCTTCTCTTATTCTTTCTCTCTAGACTAGGGATTTCAGGAGAAGATCCCTCCTGCAAGTAAAATCATTTATTAACAAAAGTTACAAGAGAAATTTTGCCTAAATCAAAAAGTCAAACATCTGCCATCTTTTCGACCATTACTTGTACCACAGAGAAGAATATACAATTAATTTTGCACATTCTTGTAGAACTCATCCTTGCCTCTGCCCTTAAAAGAGGGCAACAAAGTGAGTGCCATGTTTTCATCTCAGCTAAGGAAGAAATATTACATAAGCTGACAGCCTTCTACTTGCTCAGATGTTTAAGACCACACTTGGGTCAGATTTTCTGCTCTACTGTTTTAATTGAAGGTCTAGAGGATGAAATCAGTGAGGAATTATCACTTTTGCATATAACAAAACCATCTTGAGGACTTTGATCAGAAACACTTTTTTTCCTTTGGGTAAGTCCAAGACAGGACACTGAAACAAATTCAGATTTAGGGATATAATTTTAAGTACATAATTTTGTAAAAAGGGGTTTCTTTCCTTGCTTGACCATAAAGCCAGGAACATCTAAGGAAAACAAATTTCTACTACAGCCTAGCTTCCATTTAAGTTTGAAACAACAAGATCCTTGCTACAACACCAAGTAGTTCCATGGAAGTATTTTAATAGCTCTCATTTACCAGCATAGCATGCTAATTACCAAATCAAAATTAAAGAGCATTTGCCATTTCTATTAATTAAGATTAAGCAGAAGATTAAGCAGAAGTCCTGCACTAGGAAAGCAGAAATGGAAAATATTCTTAAAGAAAATTAAGTCAAACAAGCAAATTAGTTTGAGGCTATCAATGTACAAGACAATCAAATGGAGAAAGTCCTCCTTTGCGCACCAAAGCTGGACAAAATTGAACACTTACTCCAGTTGCTCTTCGTTTCTTTCCAATTCCTTGGCTGTCATTCTGCTCAGTACCAGACGTGCAGCTACTGTCTGTAGCTGCATCTATGTTATTAGATGCTGCAAGAAGTGAAGCATTATTTGAAGCTGGTCGATTTTCTTCTGAGATTTCTAGTACATTTTGTTTTTCAAGAAGAGGTGTTCTCTTCTCTGGGCTCTCCTGGTCTTGTTTTGTGAGGCCTGTGACCTCAGAGGTGGCCTGTAGGCTGTGTCTCCTTCCACTAGTCTCAGTTCTTTCAGACAGAAATGGTGACAAAGGAAGAGACGATGTCTCCCGTTGCAAGTCAGCCTCAATGTCAGCGCTTGCCTCATACCCAGATGTTATGTGATGTGAGTGGCTGGCTGCAATTATTTGCCTTTGCCCACTTTCTTTTATTTTGGCTTGTTCACTGAAGAAGCTATAAGCAGAAGGATTTCTGTCTGCAATGACACTGCTTTCAGAAAAGCTACGTTTTCTGGCTGAGCCAGGCACTGCTAAGGAAATCCCTTCCCACTGGAATCCTTCCAGAGTAGGCAGATCAGATTCTTCACCGAGTTCTAGACCCTCTTGCTCATTTTGAACAAGAGGCACCATTTCTATGCCAAACCTTTAACAAAAGAAAAATAAATACACATGTAACAAGCCAGTTAAATCTAGAAAAAAGCCTCCCTCTTCCCCAAATGCACATTACTGCTTTAAGAGATCTGGCAACTCATTACACTGATACTCTGCGCTTTCTGTATCATCTGGCAATGGAATATCTTTTGTGTATCACAAAATTAGATTTAGTGGCTAAGAACTGACAGCATGATTTCCAAGTCAGAAATCATGTTGTTATAACTGTTCCAAACCAAGTTTGGAATAAGAAAATATGACATCTTTTCAACACGCTTCAAAAACTTCAGGTTTAAAGAAAGTTTCAAAAGTGAAGTATTGTATAATCACTTTCTCTAAACACAACACCAAACTGCCTATCAGATTAAAATATTACCAAATGAAGAGGGAACATTTATTCTGCCTGCAGCAATGCAAGCATTTCTTGTACTCCTGAATAAATGAAGAAATAAGCAACTGTTACAGCATTGTTCACATCCTGAATGCATTTTCACATTCTTCCACTTACTAGAACTTGAAAAGCAAATACATTGCTAGTGTCCATATTCAGATATTAAGCAATGATTATGAACTGATCAGAATCTTTTCTGAGCAGCAGACTACTACTGCTTACCTATGGACAGACATCCACAGCAGCAAGCAAACATAAAAACTCAAGATTACTTGTATATGCAAAAGATCGTGGTATAGCAAGCTTCCTTCTGGAGTCTTAGTTTTAGGATTCTGGAATTCATTTAAGATTTGGAGAAAAACAACCCTCCCCCCTCAACACACACACAGAGGAATGGTTAGATCTGAAAGCTACCAACCTTGGTAAACCTTTGCCAAGTTCCTGTTTCTTCTTGGTTACCTGCTGGATGACTTGATCCCAGTTTACATTTCGCCGGGAAGCACTAAGAATCTGCCTGAGGGTGGGTTTAAGCCCGGACTCCTTCTCAGTCTCACTTCTCCGATGGCCACTCACATTCCGAATGCGCCGTGCGTTATTGAGATTGGGCTCTGGAAGATGTGTCCCGACTTTGCTCTTCAGACTAATATGTCGTGTCAGGTCTCTTTGCAGAGAGGCAGGGAGGCCAAGTTTACTTAAATCAGGAAGAAGGAGGCCTAGTGACTGGCTTCCTCCTTTTTGCAGCTCATGATCCGAAGGATTTTCAAAACCTTCCATTTCAAAGTGATCATGTGACTTGACACGCTCTTCATCCCCTTCTCCATCCTGTGAGGAGGTTTTCAAATCCACATGCAAATGGTCCTGACCACTTGATGGAGAAACCGTGGATTCCATCTGAAACGTAGAATCTTTTAGATCAGCAGGAGGAATACTTGAAGCAGCTGGCTTTTCATCATCTTCCTTTTCAGAGGTGGCAGGTTTACCTTCTGGAGTGTCACAGGGTAAACAAGAACTAACAGAAGAACCCAGCTTTTCAACTCTTGCTTCTGACTTCTCACTTCCCATTAAATCATCATCGCTCACATCTTCTAATGAATCTAGTCTGAACTCGTTCTTTGGCAATGCTTTCCCAGTTTCTTCCCTCTTCTGGTCACTTGTATCCTTGCAAGAGCTTAGGGGAGCATTTTGCAAGGAATGGCTGGACTGAACATCTTTGGGGTTTTGTTCTGCTTCACTTAAGTTATTAACAGGCTCTCCAAGATTGCTACCAAGCACATCTTTGTTGTCTTGTAAGTTACCAGCACATGCACCATGCAGCTTCGATGAGAAACTGTTGGCTTCCAAGTTCAGTGTATTCAAATGATTCTGCTCTTCGCCACTAGCTGAGGATAACAGAAGCTTGACATTTTTTAAGAGACTGTTTCTGTCTTGCTTTGGGGAAGATAACTTCATATCTGTGATATTAAGAAGAGGGGATTTCAGTGACGGCATCCTATTACTTCTGCCATCATCTTTGTCAGGCTTTTCACCACTGGAACAGTCTTTCATTACCTTGCAAGAATCAAGGTCATCTGAGGTTACATTAGAAGGGGAAGATGCTTCCCGTTTTTTAAGTTTTGAAAGGCTAACATTGGCTTCACAAGTTTTTCCTTTCATTGATGAATCAGTAAGAGGCATAAATACAGGATCCATTTTATCTGGAGTTTTAGAAACATTATCTTCAGACCGTGGCTGCTGCTCTGCAGCTTTCTGGGATGGGTAGGGACTCCAGCGATACATTTTATCTCTGGAAGGACTGCCACTTTTTCCAGTGGCTCTTGAAGTTTTGCTTTCTGGTTGTTTTGGCGTACCAAAATCCAATGCCCCCTCAGAAGCAAGTTTATCACTAGTAAAATCAAGCAAGTCGCTCCTATTTTTTCGATCTCTGTATGGCGGAACATCAATGTCTTTCTCCTGCCGCTGCCATGCATATCTTTCCTTATTATATTTAATTGGCTCTACCGAATATGTATCTCCTGAGCTGCCAAAATTCCAGCCATTTGCACCATGAGGACTAGATTTCCAGTTTCCTCCATAACTCTTGGAATTCCAGCTAGAAAAATGACCTGTTCCTTCCGAGTGCCAAGTAGAATTTCTCTCCCTAGCACTGTGATGCCAGTTTGATGTTCCTCCTCCTCGCCCACTTGGATGCCAAACATTTCCAGAATTCCCATAGTTATGCCTATTTGAAGAGCTTCCTGAAACATTTTGGTGCCACCCAGAGCGTCCCCTTGGGCCACTTGAATGTCTGTTTATATTAAGGTTCCTCTGAGAGTGTGAAAATTTGCCTTGTCTAGGACTAATATAATCATCCTTTTCCCACTTCCAGTCCCTTTGTGATGCATTATGATGATGCCATGATGACTGATCATAAGCTTCTCTTTCTTTGTAAGTAGCTCTTTCTTCTCGCCTTCTCTGTGATCTCCTATCATCACATTCTAATTCTTGGTTTGCACAGTTTGGTTCAGCTTGCCTACAAAACAATTGAGAACAATCTAAATTCTGATGCCATTCCACTGAAATACAACAGCACACAAGCCTCATGCATTTTATTTGCACTGGGAAGAAGACTTTATTTTTTTTTTTAATAAAATGGAACAGAGATAGCTTATTTAGCTGTTTTACTGTTCAAGCTTCTGTAGCGTTTGACTTTCAAAACTAATGTTGTACCTTTACTTAAATATGATATTTCAAAGTTGTTCTTATAAGAACAACTGATTTGGTGCAGGGACAGTTCAACAGACTAATTCTTAAATATTTCTGTTTAACTCAGAAGAGAATATCCCTTTCTATTTACTAGTTATTGGACTAATAACAAAGAAACAAGAAAGCTTCATTCTGTTGTATAATCTTTGTAATTTGAGTAATCTTGATAGATGAAAAATTCATTAGTAGTGAGATAATTATTTTTTCTGAATACTATTCTGTTGGTTTTAGATGGCGTAACTAGAGTGAATTGATACAAACTAGAAGGATAGTTAGGCTGAGAAAAGTAGTTACTCTACTTACTGGAGAGAACAACTAAGATTATAAAGCTTAAGTTAAAACACAGATGTAAAATATCCACAGAAGTTATACCTCAGATACAAAAATATTTTGTCTTGTTTGAACCAAGAGACTCCAACAACCCACAGCATGCAAATGCTGAGTCTGTATGAGCCTCCCAGAAGCACTATCTACTGCCCTTTGGATAGTACTTGTGCTTGGCAGCTTATCATGAACACGTGGTAAATTATCACATGTACATTTAAAGATAAATGCTACAGCACCAACAGCTATTCCCAGGGTCAGCAGTCTAAATGCTCTAAGTATTTATTCTGCCAAATGAGGAGTTTTTCTTAACAGTTTTTCCAAAAACTGACTACAGAAATGCTGCTTTCTGACACTACAGGAATACATTCATTCTAGATCCCTGGACAAGCAAGACAGGAAACTTTCACACTACTGCTCAAAAACAATTGATTTGAGTAAACTGAAAATTCATATTGTACCAGCTTTTAAGTTTTCAACACATTTCAGTTTTGCTAGAAGATGAATAAATAATTACTCTCTAATGGGAAATGGCCTACTGCATAAGATAAAGTGAGCTCTAAGACAAGAATTCAAAGAAATGATGTCTAAGTGATGCCGTAAGTTTTAGGAGCTGACTCAACTAGATTATGATCTAATGGAAACAATTTTGCTGTATTAGGAACTTAATCCATGTACTTTCTTTTATCCCCCCTCCAAACCGGCATCCAGTAGAGAGATTTTCTAAGACTTTGGTTGCCTCAGAATACCACTGTACTGATAGCATTACTCCTTTACCATAAAACCAGGAAAAGTGAGATTGTTGCTACCTACATTGACCAATATGAAAACATGACCATCATGAAGTACAGGAACACCCTAGCATGAGAGAATGACATCAAAACCAAATAATCTCCACAGATTTTTGCACTGGGAGACGCTAATTAAAATTTCTAGCCACAGCAAGCAAGAGCTTCTTTCCAAAATCATATGCCCCTTTAATACCATCGCCATGCTGTAAATCTATTCAAACAATATATTCCCCAACTGGAACATCAGATTAGCAATGCACACTTGCAGAGTCACATGGAAGATAAAAGGCAATACTTTACTCTCTGCAGCCTTTTATTTCATAGTGAGCCACTAGAATTATGTTTAGCTAATGGTAAGCAGTAAGATAAAACAGGTAAGAAAACTCATTCAAGGTTTATGGGATTTCAGTGTGACATTGACAGAACAACCCAATACATTTTAAAAACAGACAGATTAAAGTTTTATAACAAAGCATGTTAAGCAACAGTTTCTAAAAGGCCAGGTTCCTATAGACACCCCCTGCCCCAGACAGTATTAGCACCACTGTCACATTTATTAAGCCTTTCAGTTAAATGGGTACCAAATATTAAAATAAAAACATTAGTGCTCTCAAAACACAAGATTGCACACTGGGGACTGGTTTTATCCATAATGGAGAATAGCTGTATTCCTTACCAGTACTAGATCAACAGAACATTCAGCAGAGTCACGTTTACATATTGAAACTACAATATCCACATAGGTCTATTGGATTGTTCTCACAACAAATACACTGGCTACAGGCAGTTTCATGAGCACCTAAACCTTAGGAGCATATCCCAACTGTGTTAAAAGCAATTCTAAGAGGAGAAAGGAAAACTCACCGGTTCCGTTCCTTCTTTTGCTTGATTAGTTGAATGAGTTCTTTGTCAAGGTATTCTTCTTCTGCCTCTTCTTTCTCTTCCTCTTTTCTGTCATGGGCATCAACATTGTCTTTGTGCAGCTGGCTGGAGATGTGCTTGGCATATGCTGACAAACCCACCAGTGTCACCCTGCACACCCGGCATTCATGGTTGCTGTCCCTAGGAAGAGAGGCAGAGGGTGGGCTTTCAACTCTGCCAACAGGCATGGCAGGTATCTCTGGTCTTACTTTGTTTCCTCTGAATGTGCTTGCGTTCAAGGCAACTAGGTTTTGCTCAGTATATTTAAGTTACTTGAATTCTTTGGCTTTTTCTTTCAAGGTCTAGTTTTTTGATGGTCAGTTTTTAGAAGATTTTTTTCCAACAATCAAGAGGTAAGAGACTTGGTAATAAAGCTGCATTAAGTGGGAGGAGGAATTCTTCTTGAATTGTTGTACTCAAAATCTTTTCAGAGGAAACATAGTGAGCGAGGAGGCAGAGTGGAAGGCTTACAGAGCTAGCAGGAGCTGCTCTGAAGCCCATCCATGGTGCCAGCTGCACTGGGGAAGCCTGGTGACAGCTTCTACATTTAATCCTTGCCTTGAGCCTTCCCCCAGTGAAATTTAGAAAAGGGAGGAGGCAGTACATGGATACAGCCAATCATGATACAACATAACCTAAACCGGGACAGCTGAGACTGCTGCCTGGAATCCAAAGACTCCACGGCACAGCGAGTGATGGGAGGGTGTCTTCAGTTCACTGTACTTTATTTGGTTCAAGTGTGCATGAGGTTTGCTTTCTACTTTAGAGGACTTATCTTAAAAAATACAGAAATTATTTCAGCTGGAGGAAGTTGACAGCTGTGTCAGACAAATGGCTTTACTCATGTTTCAGTGAATACTGGATTAAGGTTACAACGGTTTTTTCCTTTTTTTTTTTTTTTTTAAAGAAATTCAGATTTCTAAAAATACCTTATTTGTTCTCCTGACAAATCCTTTCAATACTCCGCTGTTAAGGAAATACACTGTTAATAATAAACCTAAACAAGGAAAATATGTTCACCAGTTTAAAAAAGTCAGAAAAAACTTAATGAGAGCATACTTCACTGCAAATAACTCCGCAGAACCAAGTTAGGACTCACTGCCTTCCTCCTCAATGCTTTCTTCAGTTCTGCCATTTAATTCATAAAAGCAGATTTGCATATCCCCGTGGTGCACTTGAGACCAAGGTCTTATAATAGTAGCATTATAATACCACCACAGATCATGACTGGGGTCAAAAAAACCAAGATCCATAAAGGAAAAAGACAAACACAAATCTTGTTTATTTAGAGAAAAGTTAAAATGACAAAAAGATCAAAAGAGCACCTTCACTCAAGATATTAAGCCAACATCCTTATCGGAGTGGTTAACAGAGTGTCAGCAGCTATATTTTATTTATCCTTGAAATCTGTGCTTTTCCTACTAACATAGTTGAGATATTTAACCAATGCACTCATTCAGGCACAGCTAGAGAGGGTTTTCTTTTAAATAGACTAATTTGTAAAAATTACACTTTTTACATTTAATTATTTCGTAGGTTGCAGCCTAACTAATTTCAGATGAAACATTTGGATAAATTTCATTTACAAGTCAGTAGCTTATAAATGTAGTCTGTATTTTCCAGAGAGGGGTCTACTTCATTTTGCACACTTCACACCCACTAATAAATACTGAAAGCCCAGATACTATATATTGTACTTCGGGCTATGTCATTAACCCGATGAAGATAACCAAATACAATCAGTAAATTTTACTAACGCCACTGGAAGAATCCTTTCCGCACTCATAAATGGCACCGCTATGCATTGCTAATAAGACTTATTTTTAACTTAGGTCATCACACAAGGCAAACTCCAAATAGAAAGCTGGCTTCTTGCTGAAAAAGGTGCTCTTCTTACATAACGTTCCACTTCAATCGTAAGGACACTTCAAGGAGAAACATACCTCAGTGGTACTAATTAGGTTTTAGAGAACAATCCAAATCCTTCATAAGACCCATGTTTCAATTCTTTCATAAAACTTTCATCATCCTCACTTATAGACTAACTAAATAAACGCAAAGTTTCACTAACTTTGGACAAAGCCAGTGAGTTAGTAGCTGGCCTAAGGACAAAGAACCTGTTTCTATCACTTCTAACTTGTGAGTTACTAATTACAAAGCTATGGTTCTTGTATCAACTGATAGTCTGAAATGAAAAGACTCAAGTGGGTAGTGACTAGACTTCTCTGTCCTGCTTTTAATCTATACAAACCTAAAGAAAAAACAACACTATTTTTTCCTATATGAACAACTGCTTTAATTGAAGATGAATTGGCTAGGAGTTCAGATAGTAACACTTCAGGGAATTTAGATTTCCTTCAGTTCTTTCCTTCCCCTATCCCCATTAATATCAGCCAGAAGTGGGCACGCTCCACAACACACACTGATCATGTCTATGCATTTCCTTACCATACAGGAACACCACACAGTCTTAGTTGTTCAACAAGAAGGCTAAAAGCAGTTTGAAATAAACATGACAAAAGCATTCTCAGTCTGAAAACATCCAAGAGCTTTATTTACTGGATGGGTACTTCAGATGGCAGACTCAATGTCCCTTGTACAAGAGCATTATTTCACTTTCAATTTAAAAAAAAGAACAAAAAAACAAAACAAAAAACACAATGGATGTACTTGACATCCAATTCTCCTTATATATCACATGGAATAAGACTTAAAGAAGACAAGAGCCTTAAAATGTTTCAGAAACTTATTCTAGCCCTTGAGATCAAATTAACTTTAAAAGGAAAAAAGTGTGAACCAATGTGTGCCTTTCCTTTACCTCTTCCCTACAGGAAGTCTAAGAAGTGACTTCTAGTTGGATGTTAAATTTCAAGGTAGTAAAATGCTGATACTACACCCTTTAATGGTATTATCCTCTGTTACACAACCCAACCATACTCACGAGGCAGTTGCTCGTGCTTCACGTTTTCTACTTGGAGCACGTTTTGCTTTGCAAGGCTGTTAAGACTTCTAAAAGACTTCTACTAAACTTAAATGGGAGGAAGGAGAGGCACAGGGGAAGAGAATAAGGCTGCTGCTGCACAGTGAAAAATTAAATTCCTTATTAATTTTGAGAACAAACATCTTCCATGCATACTTCTGAAAGAAGTAATGAAGACAGTTACCTTAATAATACAGAAAATGTAATGCTGATGAAACAAATTTAATTTCATTTCATTCTTATGCAAACAGAAAAACAAGAATTGTCAGATCACTTCCAAGCCACTGTGGACACAATATATAACTTCTAGAAATTGCTATTACCTTCAAGAGTCATAAGCTAAAAAAAAATTAACTTAGAAGGCCAGAAATAAGATGCCAAAATATGTGAAATTTTAAGCTGTGGTAAGGATCTCAGAATCACTGTCAGAAGAAGAAAGTCCGGACTAGAAATGCTCTACAAGTTAGCTGACCAGAAGCCCTAAATCAGCATCTAGTGCTGAGGACGCTCTGGTTTCTGAGCTACCCCTTCCCAGCTGTTCAGTAACAGAACAAATCCTTTTCATACCCAACAGGACAGATACTGAACAGCTTGGAATCAAGCACATTTTCAGAATGTTCCTAGCTCCCAGACCCAGTTGTGTGGGGTACTGCAGAGACGAAAACAAAGTTATTTGGGGTTTTTGGTTTTGTTTTGTTCTCTTTTAAGTAAGTAGCTGAATTCAGAACAACAAAAAAAAAAAAACCAAAAAACAACACACCACAAGAAATGGGGGGCTGGGAAAGGGAAGGCAATGGCGGGGGGACAGAATGTTCCTAGCTCCCAGACCCAGTTGTGTGGGGTACTGCAGAGACGAAAACAAAGTTATTTGGGGTTTTTGGTTTTGTTTTGTTCTCTTTTAAAGTAAGTAGCTGAATTCAGAAAAAAAAAAAAAAAAAAAACAAAAAACAACACACCACAAGAAATGGAGGGCTGAGAAAGGGATGGCAATGGCAGGGGGAAAAAGGAGGAGGGTGGGGAATATGAGAAATTCATCTTTTTTTATGCCCTCCATCTTTACTACAAAGCAATTTTTATTTGAAAAAATGAAATAGCTTCCAAGAAGTTGTTTTCATGCATTTTCTCAATGTGACACAATAACAACTTTGTTAATCTGGACAAGTTGAAGATTTTCTGAATCCAACTAAAACAAATTTCATTTCAAGAGGGAAAGATCAAATAATTTTCTTTCCAACATATTTTAACACTTTGATAGTCCACACAGGCCCTGCCTAAAGACAGGCTGATGACAGAGATTCTGAAGACCAAAGTTTTCCCAGTTTACTAACCTGTTGTGAAGCCCCAGAGAAGTTAATCAAATATTAAATGAAGTAGAAAATCAGACAACAGAGGTTATTTACTGACAGTTAATATGCACCTCAAGGTAAGCAGTATCTTTTTACTTATTGTCCTGCAATAAGGGTTATTTTCTGTTTTAGAGAGACAGATATAAGTGGGTATACACATATGCTACAGATTTTCTGCAAGCCTTAACCTAAAAACATATTAGGTTGCCGAGTTAGACGAACTACAGCAATACTTAGCAATTATACACAAGAGTAGTATAAAATACTATACAGCTGTCTCAAACAAATGTCTTCAGCTGTGGCGCATATGTAATATAATCTTGTACTCCTAACATGGACACTTTTCTGCAGCTACATGTATGCTTTGCATATAAAGAGTTACTGAAGAGAAATAAATTGCAAACTTCCTCTAGTTTTGAAACATTATAAAACAAAACAGTTTAAGAGTTTTACTAGAATTCAACCTAGCACAACTTAAGTACATGGCATTAGTATCTATCATATTATAGATCAGATTCTTAATTTCACCCAGCCTTTCTTGAATAGTTAACTCTTTAAAAAAGGGGCCTGGAGCCCTAACAGGTGCTCTCACTTTACACAAAACAACAGAATAAAAGCTACATGAACAAAAAACTAGCATGCAAACAGAAGTAGTCTACAATTTTTCTTTCCTGGATATAAGACACATGTTCTGACAAAACAGATCTCCCACACCTTTAAGAGTTGAAAGAAGATTACTTCTTAGTCCTTTAAAAGGTGTTTAAAAGAGATTTGCCATTTCCATATAAAGTTTGTGCTGCAAGATGATTAAAAATTAGTCTGTATATCAAATACTTAAGTGCAGACTATCTGATCTCTCTGGCTACCTCAAAACCCATACACCTGAAAGCACTTTTAAGTGCACTCTGGTTACACCCTGATTCCATATTATCAGGGTGATATTGGAATACCCCTTAGCTCCTTCATCCCTCTTTCCAAAGGCTGCAAATAAAACCAAGGAAACCAGAAGAAAGACACCATCCAACGTGGTTAGGTCCCTTAACCAAACAACTGGACCAGGGTGGCAGAGGACAAGGCAGTCACTCAAACAGATGCAGCCTTTATATCCAAAGTATCAGTCTTCTCACAGTGGTTTAAAAGATCAACAATTGCTTCTACATCATTGAAAACTTTGAAAAAACATTTTAAAAAGGAAAACACCAGTGTTCGTAGTTCTGCTAAAAGGAAGAATTCTAGTGCTTCCAAGAAACCAAGCATGAAACTGCCAAGACCTAAAAAACATGTTTTTAAATTTTATTTTACTGCTGTCCAAGAAATACAGGAGAGCTTTCTTCCACATCACTGTTTGCCTCCTGAGTTTGACATTAAGAGAACATGTTTGTTGCCAGCTTTATCACGAGGCATGCAACTAAGTGATGCATAAAAATAAACAGTGCAATTCAGCTTGTATGGGAAATAGGACATGAGTTCTTCCAGAGAGTGACATGCAAACTGCACAGAGAAGAAGGATGCAAAATTGTTCTCATACCTTCCCTTCAGGTTTTCGAGTTCTCTGTGGTGAAGCATGCTTCTCATGTGTTCTTCCATCTCCTTCAACATGGAGAAAAAAGTAAAATTGGTCAAAACAAAACAAAGTGGTGTATCATATTTGAAAAGCTCACTGTTGAGAACTCTCCTGCCTTGCAGGAACGTGTAGTCTACTCCTGTAGGGCTGTAGCAGTTGCCATTCCCATTTCTATGACCACGAAAGTGCAAGTAGTCACACTGTCAGGAAGTCATATAGTGTTACCTTTCCTGAGGAAGGACACACAGGAGTCATTAGAATTCAACAGAAGGGGAGCAGAATTCCAGAAGAAAGACAAACAGGAGTGCATGTAGCAAAGCCTATTAGACTGATTTTTGACAAAGTACTGTTGATTATCATTTTTATTAGAAGTCTTACTGATACTACTCTCCAGAATCACGGTGCTTAAGACATTGTTTTCCTGTGCAATCTGAGCAGTCTCTCTGTATTTGTATTACGACACAGCTGTAATTTCACCATCACATACTATTTTACTCTGCTAGATGCACTTCAGAAACTGAGATGTAAATAACATGTCAGTTTGTTGTTTACAGCAACCTTGATCCGTGAACTGCAGTGGTGGTATAATTTATCACTATTGAAAGCAAGCTGCTGGAAGAGAAAGAATGTTCATAATTCAGCAAAAGGAAGCAATTCAGACAATTTAACTTTCTCTTGGTGTTTGAGCCAAAATGTTTGGAAATCTTCAAAGAACAGATACTAAACACTATCCTCTTTAGTCCTTGAAATCCCACCTGCAAAAGGAAAGCAACATCTTCAACCTTGAAGAGTTGTGTGAATTAATACATTGGCATTTGCAAGATATCCATATGCCATGTGGCTAAGCAACATATGAAGGTCCATTAAGAAACACTCAATTTCAGTGCAGGCTTTACATGATATGCAGTACACAGAAGATACACACCAAATTGATGCATTAATGAAAACACATGCTGTGCTGTGTAATTCCACATTCTCCTTCCATATGGAAATACAGACCTCCCAAAAGAAATAAAAAAATGCGTATTACAGTATTCTTAACATAGCACAATTTAGAGCCAAATGAGTTTGAGTGCTTTTCACTTTATAATCGTCATACAACAATATAAAAAACTCAAAGACCCCAATATTTTTAACATTCAGAATCAAGCACACTGCACAGTTCATTTCAAGGATACTCTGAAGCACATGCAAATATATTACTTGGTTTGTGATAGACCTAGATCAATAATATTCCTGTTAGAGGGAAAAACCCTCATACTTCGCACAATTTTAAAATGGAAGCATTTCTTAGACACATTTCATATTAGTATCTACCGAGAGATGTAAAGCATTGATTTACCTTTTTTGAGTTGTACACAATGTGACATAATATGCATTTTCGTTCTCGAACCATGCTTATTACTCTGGAAAGAGCTTATCCCATACCTGCAAATAAAAATAATTTCAAAAGAACCAACATTCAGGATTACTTTTTTCCTTCCATTAATCTGTTTTAGTAAGGAAAGCAAAAATAAGTTACTATTCATGAAAACACTTGTGCTGAGCTTCTTTACGAGAATATGTACCTCTTGTGCGTAGTCAATATTCTTCAAAAAAAAAAAGATAAGGTAGTTTTGAATAGTCAAGAGCTATAATAAAAAGCAGCTTTCCCTTTCTTTCATTTTGTTCCTTGTCCTCCAAGACATGGCACTCATTCTACAAGCAAACAGAGATCTGTAGGAATCCTCTCAGCTACTCAAATCGGATTAACAAAACACTTTTCAAGTAGGATGATGAGAGGGAGATAAGAAATTGGGGAAACCAAGCAGGGCAAACTCAGATCTTTACTTTGGTACACAGGGCAGCTCAAGTATGATATTTAAGGCCCTAGGAAAATGAAACAAAGGCCATTCATGACATCGAAGACTGTCAGTCTTCAAGGTTTATCAGTCCATTTATTCACCATAAAATAAAACCTAAAGTGATTTAAATTCAGTATTTTTCTCATTAACCTCCATAAGAACTACACATATGCATGTACTGAAATACTTAATTTAGACAGCATTTTAAGATACATTCTGTAACACCATGCTCTACATGGGCACCTTTTGTATTTGAATCATTAATAAAAGCTACTGATTTTCATTAAATATTCCCAATGGCACAAGATTATTCAAAACTTTGCACCAGAATATTACACATTTTAACACTGATGTACTTAAGACTTGCATGTACACAAATGAAAGCGGCAGGTCAAATTAAATGCCATATGTATTTTATCATAATGTTTAATTCATAAGGAGAGCAATTAAATTAGAGAGGTACATAAAGACGGACACATCTGCATAAGTAACAGGGTATAATCTTTGCCCTTTTCTTTCTCTTAAAAGACACTAAAATGCAAAATGATCAAGCATTATAGTAATTTTTTTATTGACTTGGCAGAGGCAGTTCCTCACCCTAAAGTGGAAAGAAACGTATCTTTTTACTACTAGGCGTTTTTATATTTCCACACAAAAAGACATACCCTTCCAAGCTTTTCTATCTTACATTAGTCAACTTCAGAACTAACTTAGCTAATACCATCAAACTCAACCTACAAGAGCCTTCTTCAACAGCTTACCCTACAAAGTTAATTCTAGTTATTTACCACCAACCTTCTGTATCAAGGGCATCAAACCCTCTGAATCTGATACCGACTAGAAGCTGTGAGCAAAGGGCAAGAACTGGATTTTTACCAAATCCAGATTACCTGGAGTTAAAGCAGCTCTGACATTCAGTGGTACTGTCCAACTGTAAACAAACAATAAGCAAGTAAAACCACACCCACTCTAATTCCAAAATGTGGTTCTTTGACAAATAACTCTTTTCCTCCAGATCTGCATGTCCATTTACGGTTAACGGATGCACCAGCATCTGTCCAGCTTAAAGGGGAAGGAACTGAGAGTTGCAATAGCCCTTTCACCTTTAAACAGAGAAAGCAGTTTCCTCCCTAAAAAAATCCACATCATCATACCAAAACAAACACACTTAAAACACAACAGGAGATTCAATCACCTTCTTATGTGCCCTATCCAGCATTCCTAGGGTGCCATTCTTGATCTCATTGAAATACCCAGTAGTGTTTAAATATGCATTCTTTAGCTTTATCACATGGGCACCTGATGTACTTGAATCATTAGTAACAGCTATTTATTTTGACAAATCGCCCCCAACAAAGGTACAAGATCATTCAGAACTTTGCACCAGCCTAGGTCATATAGAGCATACATATAAATTCATATGATATCAGTGATGTACATGCAAAAGCATCTGCCTTCATGGAAGGTCAGAACACAGAAGTTTTGGAAGAAAGTATTTTGCAATCATTTGAAACCATATATAAAGAGTATAACTTGATTTAAAACATATTTAAGCTGAGACAGCAGATAAGGAAAATTTAAGCTAATATGAGTAGAGATAGAAAATCAGACATTTCAGCTTCCTGGTTTTCCAGTAGGTTATTAGGTGAGTATAGCAGCACATCAACAACATACTGTTTATACACAGATCTGTGCAGCTGCAACACAACAGATCTAAGAGAATTATTTATGATTACACACAAGTGACAAAGGTTTGGATGCCTCCCCAATATAAGAGAGCTGTTTTAATGTGATTAATATGAAGTTACTCCTGAAAAGCAAGGGTGCTAACCCTTGCACCAGTTTGAGATACTTCCTTTTGCATTAAAATACTCCCTACTCCCCCAACATTCTTCGCTAGCAGTACTTTGTAGTTTAGCAGAATAATTCCCTACATGTGTTCAGGATCTTGTTCAAGATTACTCAAGTATGTACAGAATTCATTCTGCACAAGGGTGAAACAGCAGCATGGGACCTAGATCAGGAAAAGCAGGCCAGTAAAGTATGGTGACTTGCTGACACCAGTTAGCACATAACATTAAAGAGCTTTCACAAGTAAAGCTAACATTACACCTGTTTTGGCTAATTAAAACATATAGTAACTATACACGATTACAGGAAGAGTTTTAGGCTAACTGCCCAATCAACTGGGCATTGCTTATGACAGAGTACTAAAAATACTAATGGAATGCAAATGCTATTGGATGTCACTATGAAAAGTGAAACTTTCACCTCCACAGAGAGAAGCCCTGAGAGGCAAGGACTTAGAAGTATAGAGATTCAGTAGATGCTACAGGGACTGGGAGAAGACAGACCCATGTTCTATTTCCAGACCACCTCTTGACTTGCTGTCTACATAGAGATAAATCACTTCCCTTCATCCTTAGCTTTCTCCCAAATCCTGTTATAAATCCCAAGGCTCGCTTTAATGAAGTACTTCAATTTCACTGTAAAAGAGCTTTCATTAAGTACTTTGAAAAACATCGTAAATTCAAGGTATTCCCTCATTCACTATGCAACAGTGACAAGAATCAGACAGCTTTCGAGCCATGTAGTCAGTGATGGCATTTCATCTCATCATACACTGGTCTGTTCAATCATAAAACTTTCATACTGAAAAACTTCAGAAACAGAGCTTTCTCTACATAAATGCAGGCACATTTATGCAGGAATTCTTAAAAAAAAAAATCCCATACCTTAAAACACTGAATAACCTTTGAGCTTGTAGGAGATTTAACCGTTTGTGCTTTTGAAATCACCAACTTGCTGCATAGCATAGGGAATTACCTCCCACGGGATGTCAATGGGAAAGTGAGCTACTCTAAAAAATAAGCAAACTGCAAGCAAAAATAAGGTTTTGTCAAAAAGACCCCACCACCACACAAGAGAAACATATGTCAACAACAAAATGTAAAGCCTTCAAAACAAATGAGATGTTACAACAACTTTCTATTTTGAGAGACTGTAACTGTTCAGTGGGTGATTTTTTTTATTTGTTTGTTTTAAAGGGAAGGGATGCATTTTACAACTATGTGATGTAAATGCAACTTGCCCATAGCCTGCACCTGCCCAGAGCTTGGAAACACCACACAGTTTTAATTAACTTAAGCAAGTCTGCTACAGAGATTTTGAAGAACACTTCTCACAAGTAGAAATAGTCTACAAAGAAAATAAGGCATTAGACTACTTCCTGCTACAACATCCATTTGTCCCCTGTTATTCAACCTTACCGGATAACATATATTAAAAATGTACATCAAGGTTAAATCTGCTACAGATCAGTAGCTGAACACTCTGACTATATAAAGCCACAAGTGCCACGGAGTGGGGCGGGCAGCCCGGCATTCCAGCTGCCTAGAAATCCTCAGGAGGCCTCAAAGAGATCAGCAGCGCTGGCCTGTCTAAATGCTGCATGTCCCTACAGATAGCTGTGGAAACTCTACACTTGACAAGAACGGGAGCCTAGAAGTTCACCATGGCAGAATGCTCTGCAGCAACACGCTCCTCAGCTCCTCACAGGGATGTCGTTCGTTTTGCTTTAGTGACTTCTCTCCTGCAGTGACTAATTGTACATGTCCTAGTTCAGCTGCAGAACAGTAATACAGCTGCCACAGACATGGGAAAGGAGAGGGGAGAAGCAGCAGCAACTCACCACAAACTGCATTCATGAAATCTTTAGTTGTTTGATGGAAGGAAGTGGTGGACAGAAGGTCATTTTTACTTGGAGAGAAGCCTCTTGCTCAGAAGAATCAGGAATGGAAGTGTGTGTATGCCCTGGAAAGCACTTAAACAACCATTGCTAGGCTAGATCATATATAGTTTGATTATCAGCACAACTTATTTTGCTAATCTGCCAAGAAGCCTGGTCTTTCCACCGGAAAACCTGGAGAACCCCACATAGGCCTTTGAATGCTGTATTCAACCACCTATTGTGATAAACAAACGCTACAAAGCAACAAGGATTGCTAATCTAACTAAATAATGATTTATTAAAGCCTAGTAATAGAGACAGATTTTCTTAAGGAAAAGTTTTATGACTAGAAAACAATTTCCCTGTATTACATGCTGCTCCAAACATCAAAGCCCTGTGCCGCTGTGAGAATGCTGTACAGAAACAAGTAATTCATCATAACGAGACAGAGGCCTACGCTCAAATTTCAACACCTCAAGCAGAATTTACGCAGAATAAAGCACTAACATTCAAAGGCTATCTTTCCTTTCCAGAGTCATTGCTCTTGAGGCATCTGAATTCACTACGCATCCCCTTGCTAGACCGTAACTTCTGCTAATTACCCTACCATTACTTCGAGGCATATGTGGGAGGCACTTTAACCTTCCTTCTGAGATGCTGATCTGTGCAACCTAACCTGATCAACAGCCAGAAACTTAAGGATTTACTGAAGTTTAGTCACAACTAACAGCATTATTCTCCTCTAGCACACTATCATGCACAGTACAAACTACTTTGTAGTCACAGGGGTTTTTTTTAATGTGGCAAACGAGACAACTATATTACAGTCCAATAGTTAAAATACTTGTAC